GCCAATATGTCTTTTCTTTGAGCAATACAGATGCTTTGAGCTGCTGTACTGTACCTTCCTGAATAGTCAAGGCGATGGGTTTGCGGGAAAAGTCGGGATGACTTTTTCCTGCTGGGATTTCCTCCACAAACTGTGTGATCATTACTCCTGGGACTTTAGATCGCTTCTTAATGGCCACTGAAGAATGAAAAGAGAATTTTAAAAGCTGTGATACTTCATACATGAAATCAATGGATTTTGAAAAGGTTCTCAGTGAATATCTACCTTGCCCAGGAGCAGTGGGCTCCTCTTCCTTACTTTTTGTAAATTTCATCTTGGCATGTGGGATTCAGGGATTCCTGTGGGATCAAAAAATCATTACAGCTATGAAATTTAAACTGTTTTGCAGGAATAGTTCACCCAAAATCATTTACAAAATGAAAATTCTGTCATTATTTACTCATCCTTATATTCTTCCAAATCTGCCTGAGTTTCTTTTCTCTTTGGGAAAAAGATGAGATGAGATATTTTGAAGTGTTTTTGATAAAGTAATCTTTTACTCGATTTTATACTCTGTTAACTTGCGAACTGCTCTAACCGGACCATTAAGTCAGTGATTTGAACTCAATAATTGGATCAGAGAACAAATTGTTCCTTTGAGCTAGGCTTTTTTTTTGCTTTTTTCTCACTGAACCATTGATTTGGTTCACAAATCGGTCTAAACGATTCATTCACAAACTTGGACTAATTGTGGAACCACTGAACCTCACTTTTTCTATGGTGCTAAAGTTCACCTCATTGAAGTTCAAGACTATCAGTGAATAATAAATTCAGTTTTGGATTCTTTACTATGATGGATTTCTTTTGTGAAATATATTTTGTGAAAGAAATAGATTTGGAAAAAAAATGTGAAAGATATAATGTACAGGTGCATCTCAATAAATTAGAATGTCGTGGAAAAGTTCATTTATTTCAGTAATTCAACTCAAATTGTGAAACTCGTGTATTAAATAAATTCAATGCACACAGACTGAAGTAGTTTAAGTCTTTGGTTCTTTTAATTGTGGACTTAAACTACTTCAGTCTGTGTGCATTGAATTTATTTAATACACGAGTTTCACAATTTGAGTTGAATTACTGAAATAAATGAACTTTTCCACGACATTCTAATTTATTGAGATGCACCTGTAAATAATGACAGATTTTATAGTTTTTTTTTTGGTATTATTGGTTTACTTTAATTTTTATTTTTGGAATTTAAAATGTGATTTTTAGTTTGAAGTGAATTCACTTCTTACCTACTGTTCTTTAGGTGTATTTGATGATGATGTTGCAGTGAATCTTTGAAGTTTTGCGATTTTTGTGAAATTAAGGCAAAGTTCAAGAATTTGTTGCATTTGAAAAAAGTGCTAGACGTGGTTCTGATGAGGAAGCATAATTAATTTTTGACTCTGATCATGTCTGTTCCCTGAGGCAGGGAGCATGGAGCTTAGCAGCAGGGCTAAGCTAAGCGCTTCTGTCAGCTTTTCTCTGCAGCAACATGAACACTCCAGCTGTCTAGAATGTAATTCATGGTCAAGTCACAGGAAGGAAAAAAAGCTGGCAACAGTGTCACTTACACCGATCCGCAACCTCGGGATTTAAGCAATATGTCTGCTACAGGAATGTAATGCTGACACATTTCGAGTAAATCTCATACCTCCTGAAGTCTCTTTTAGATGGGTTTCTTAGAATGAAGATAGAGACAATAATTGTGTCTGGAGGTGGTGGCTGTAAATTGTTAGCAAGAAATATGCAGCAATTATGTTTTCTTTGGATTACAACTAGGGTTTTTATTAAGGCAGGAAGGGTTTCTAAAGCTTCTAAAAGCCTCATTAATTTTGTTTCTGGTGAACTGATATTGTATGAAACACCTAAATTGACATGCTTGAATCTAGATTCACAGATCTCAGAAGTGTATAATCAAATTCAGCAAATGCAATATAGCTTAGAATTGATTCACAAAGAACAGTGTTATTGAGAATAGCATGATAAAGATGCATCGAAATTTCTACATTCTGTAGAGTAGTAATTTAAAGTGACGGTAAATTGAGGACTTTGCTTCTCGATTAACACTATGTGCCCACTGGTGTAAGTCAAGTAGCCATGCATGTTTTTGTCTGGTATAGGTCACATACCTCATAAAACTATCCATCAAAACACCTCTGACGCACACTCTCATCTTAAATGCAGAGTGCCAACATTTTTCAAGTGCTCTATTTCTCCACAATCTCCTATGATAGTAATACTATTCCCAGATGCATTTCATAACAGCTAGATTGAAAGGTTTCATAAACTATGCCATTGGTTTCCTTTTAATATTTATGTGTAGCAGTTGCCTAGGTGATATGTTGCATATATACGTGCATCCAAATAATAAATAATAATAAAAAATTGTATACACATATGTGTGTTTGAAACTATTACATATATATATATATATATATATATACACACACACACACACACACACACACACACACAAACATACACACATAGAGGTTGTGATCTGTGTGATAATCATACAACTATAAAATAGGTGCTGATTTATAGTGTAAGCAGTACATCAAGATAGGTTTATCTGCAGACAGCTTCTTATCAGGGATAACCATATTTGTAGGAGTTGAAAAATAGCCATGCCTAGCAACTGAGACATATGATTGATTTATAAATATGCCCAAGGGAGGCCTGGAAAGGGTCTCGTGTCCTAAGATGTCAACCCCCCATTAATGGCAGCAAGGCTCCTCTTACTGCTTTGACCATTTTTATTTCAGATTTTATGACTTATTAAATGATCTTTTCCCTTACCCTGCTTTCCCTGCTCTTAGGATTGCCTTAGGTATTTTACAAGGATAGACCTGCACATTAACAGCATATTGAGAAGTAATCAATTATTGATCTCGTCATCATTATCCGTTTATATATTTATACTTGAACATTTGTTATTGTCTGTGACATAAATGCATACATTTTATGAAATACAGTATAGAATTATTAAATAAAATGATCTATATTAGGAATATGTTATTTGTTTTTTTTTCAGTAATCCATAAATTCGGACCTATTTTCATGATAACATTTTCCCTAACCCATTACAGGTAATTGCGCTCCAGTATAATTGACCAGAGTTGCTTGCTGTGGAGTGATGTGGGACCAATAAAAATAACATAATGGCCTAAAATAAACATTGTTTACATTTATAGATCAATGTAAAAGCTGCATGTCACACACATTGCTCCAAACTAAGAAAACAGATGGTGTAGCATCCTTTCATCATTACATGATAATAGGAAACCACTTTGAAAGGAATAGAGACCACCATGAACATTTTTTTTGGCCCAACAGATGTCTCGGTTCATCTTTCTGAGAACTATTCCGATGGGAATCAAACATTTTCATCTCCATTTGTGTTTAGAAACAACAATCTCAGTGAAATGCCATAAAAACATATTTTACTGTTGGCTATAACAATCATTGCACGATCAATACAGTACTGCTCTTTTTTCCTTGCAAAATGCTCATGCATTCCATGAATTTTGCATGTAAATTCATTGAACATGCTGTCCAAATTATCTTATTCCTACATAAATAGCACAAAATCAGTACGTAGTTATATTAAAAGTAGTCTGTTGTCTACTGATATGCAGTAATTCAGAGCCATTTAGGAGTCACGTCAGACAACCCCAACCTATTCTGATTGGCCAGGTGCATTACTCCTCATGAATATTCCTGGTGTAATGTAGCAGAATAGTGTAAATACTAAAGATTGGCTACTTACTTTGTGACTTGTGCCCCGTGCTCTTTGTTCAGCTTTGAGTGCCGACTTCACCTTTGCGACCCAACTTGAGATGGTCCTCAAAGGTGTCCTGTTGCTCCTCAGGGGTGTTGGCTGAGGGATAGGCTTACCCGTGAGTTCTGATCAAAGACATGAGTGTGATGAGGAACTGTGACTCCTCCCTTAGATATGGAACCAGGCTGGAGAATGAAGCTTATGAACTATCCACTGAATAAGAAACTCCAGGAGTAAACGCTCAGTGACAGCGGAGGGAGCAGCTTCCTCCTGAAGTGAGAAAGGTAAGCTTGTGCTTCTCAAAATGATGCGAAGGAGCTTCGAACATACTGATATTGATGTTTTATTTGTCATTATAAGTGCGTACCATATTAAAAATTCTGTGTGGGTCACATAAGAATAATCTAGCCTATATTTACAAAATAGAACAGTTCTCATTTTAAGTTTTAGAAGACGTGATGTTTATGTTTAATGTAAATATATGACATTGTTTTGGAGATAAATGATTCTTAATGATTTATGGGATGCATAAACTTTTAATTGGGCAAGACTGAAAATCCTGCGCTTGTTGGATACAAGTTTGAAGTTACATTGGTATGCTCAGGCCAGGGAGTTATGGCCCATATATGGATCAGAAGAGACATAGAGGTCATAAATCATCATGATGTAGTGACTCTTAGGTCTGACATCTCCACATGAGCACATACATAACCACGCCACAGGAGCACCATACTGATGTTACATGTGCTGGACCCTGTCAGGCCGTTTAAAAAATGTATTGGCAGTAAAATACTCCAAATATAACAAGGACAGCATGTTCAGGCTTTACTTACGCTCCATATGACTAGTAAGACAAATCTCAAATAACTACCCTGATGACTTGTGTTCTACCCGCTTAAATGATAGAAGTACTTGTGCTGTCCAATCTATAAAGACTGTGTCTGTTCCCCGAATAGTGAGGTCAAAATATAAATTGGATCTGGGCCAAAACTATGTTGCTGTCTGGGTATAATATTTCTCTCGTTTTTTTCTCTTTATGAATGGATGTGTTCAGAAAAACATAGCTCTTGAGAATTTTAGGAGCTTAGGATCATGGATTAATAATCGGATCATTGTGCTTTGTGAATTCATATGCAGAGTAATGGATTTGTAATGATAAGGTACAATAACAGTCGATACACAAGTGCACTGTTCAAAGAACCTGAATATTTTATTTATTTACACCAAACCATTTTTGCTGATAAAGCATATCTGAAGAAGCAAAAGCTTCTTTTACACTTTAGCGTTTCCAGACAAGCAAAAAGAAAAAAATGGATGCAAGAAATCAGCACTTTACACTTTTTTTTTACCGTACTGTAGTGTACTGTAATTGAATTTGTGAAAATAGCAGCGTACGTGCACAAAAGCCAAGAATAAATTAACTAATTAATTAAATAGCGTACAAGAACAATAAAACCCCCCTAAACCTGAACTAAGCTGAAATAAAATCATTGCCAAACAGGATTAGGTAAGCATGGCGAATTAAGCATCAGCCACCCAAGCGGCACAATACAGAGTTTTTTTCTTTATGTTTTCAGGTTTTTGTGCTATTAAACACAGTAAGACGATACGTAGTTTTTCACATGCATTTGATTCTACAATTTTTTTCTCATAAGGCCACACTGTGTAGCGTTTTCATGAGCCATCTTTCTGCAAAAATACTCGATGCTGTAGCTCTACAAAGGGCCTAAAATCCAAAAAACACAACAGTGATTTGACATCCTCCCCATGTCAAGGTTTTATTCTGAAAAACAAAGAAAGAAAAGAAAATATGGTTAAGGTGTTAGATTAAATTTATTTGCAGTGTTATGTATGGAAATGTTCTTAACTTTCTGAATTTACTTTGTGAGTAACTTTTATGAGTAAACACACTTAAATATCTGAAATAGAAGTGTTAACCAAGTTATTCTTATAATTTCTGGAGATATGTTTGGAAATATATTTAGAAACTTTATATTGCACATAGCTAGTTAGTGGTGCATTGGTAGGATGCCTTGTAAAATTGGATTGAGAAGCATTTAGATGTTTTCATTTTGTCATTTAATAACTTTTCTGAGTGGCATTTGCTGGGATTCCCAGCAGTTTTGCGGATCATGGAAGATCATCCCGTACATGGATAGATCAATGCTTGTTTCCAAAACTAGCACACAGATTGCTTGTTATTAAGTAAAATGTACAGTAAATGCATTGCTACTGTCAGGTCCAAAAACCCCATTGGTTGCCAGTATCTTTTCAATTTTGTCTCCCCAACATGAAAATAGTTTGAAAATGCTGCTGAATACGTGTCATCTTGTCGAGGCATGGAAGTTATTAAACATTACTGAATATAGTAAAAAAATACTGGCGCTTTGGTAAGGCAGAGTTGCATAAAAGATACGTTTTTAATACTAAAAAAAAGTCTGAGGATTTATTTATGGTTTTATATAGTACTTAAGCAGATGATGATGCTTTTGGGAAACTTGCCTAGAGATAAAGTACGACTTCTAAAATTGTACTTGGAAACCCCGCTGTTATCAGGTGCTTAACTTTCATCGAGTGAGGCGAGTTCTTCATGTAGACCCTTACCTCTCACTGTCAGATTGGTGGTGCACTCTGCTCTTCCCAGCGGGCTCTCAGCTATGACTTTATACTCTCCCATGTCTTTGGCTCCAACCCTGAGAATGAGCATGGAGCACACTCCACAGGTGTTAGTGATGTAGTAGTTGGTGTTAGTGTTGAGGCTGACGTTGTTGCGGTACCAGGTGACGTGGGGTGTGGGGTTGCCCCTCACGGCACAGGTCATGTAGCACTCGTAGCCTTGCGGGGATGTGTGGATTTTCAGGGGGACCATAAACCTCGGAGGACTCTCCAAGTTGCAGGTCTTTGACTCTGGGATGTTCAGTGTGAATTTTTCTGCAAGAATTGAAGGAGTTTGGTTAAAAAACAATTCATTAAGGCTGTCTACTTGACAAGTCAGTGGGTCCCTGAAGGGTAACCATGAAGTGCATGAGCAAGCAGGGTGTCCACAGTAAACAGACACCCCCTAGTGGCAGGACGTGCATAAGACCAGAGAACGCATATTCTTGAAATCAGTGGGTAGCGATCCAAAATTGGATTACAGGTCTGGTTACAATAGCAGGGGGAAAACAATGTTAAATGCAAATAATAGAATGCAACTAACCATATAATGTAAACAAGTATATTCGGGTAAACAAACAAACAAAAAAAACTCTTCCCATGTTATTTGTTGTTTTCTATCAAAATCAGTATTCTTGGCATACATTCATCTGTCACTTGGCAATATGTCTAACATATTATCATGATATTATGGTAACACTACATGTTAGTTAATGCATTTTTTTTTTGGTATATAATTATAATAAAATGCAGCTGTTCATTGTTAGTTTGTGTTAGTTTAGGTCCATTAAACAATATTAGCAGATACTTTTGATTTAATTAATGTATTAATAAATGTTGAAAATTGTTTTAGATTTTTTTTAAATTGTTAGTTAACTTTAACTTTTTGTAGTTTTGTAAAAAATTGGAACCTAATTGTGAAGTGTTACAAATATTAGTGGTATAATAATTGGCACAGTATTTTAGGCTTAGCACATTGCAGTTCATGGTAATATTAATACATTTTATGTTTGATTTTCAGGGCTTTTTTGTTACATTTATATATAAACAATAGATAATAGCAATTTTGGTGTTGGGTCAGCAGTTGATGCACAAATCTGGGTGTTGAAGCTAAAACCAGTTGAAAACCACCGTTTTAATTATTTACATTGAGTCTGAATAGCTAACTCCACCCATCACTGCTCAGATATTTTTTTTCCTTTAGTAAAAATAGGATTCTACTAAGACTTTGTGTGAATAACATCTGTCACAATTTGCACAATCTGTCACAAGATGCTATGTATCGCTATTTATACTTAATGCAAACAGTATCCACCATTCTTACACTTAGTGTAAATAGCTGCTGCCATTAAATAAGGACCGAATGTAAATAATGCTAGAAGTTTGAATCACCACACCCCTGTATTACAAACCTTTCTTGCATGTGATAAGCCATTTTGGTGACTCCGAAGGGGCAGACAGGCCAATGTCATTTTTGGAGTACACACGGAACTGGTATTCTCTCCCTGTCATGATGTTACATGCTGTGAAACGGTTGTTGAAGATACGGTCAGCTACAGTGTGCCAGGTCCTCTTGCTGGAGTCTCTCTTGGTCACCATGTAATGCAGGCGATCATCGCGTTTCTCGTCTGGGGATGGTTCCCAGGAAACTGTCACCGTGCCCGGAACGTTCTCATCCAACTCTGCGGGGCCTGGGGGCTTTGGCTCGTCTACACCAAAACAATCAGTCGTAGTTCATCAGAACTGGCAGATCAAGCCTATTACATGTACATTCCTCTACAGAGCAAGCTTGGTTGAGTATATCCATCTAAAAATCTACACTACCATAAAATTAGTACTTTTAATCAGCAAGGATGCATTAACTTAATCAAAAGTGACAGTAAAGATTTTTAGTGTTTCAAAATGATCCTATTTCAAATAAATTCTCTTTTAAACTTTCTATTCATCAAATAATCATAATAAAAATGCATCACAGTTTCTGCAGAAATATTAAGCGGCACAACTATTTTTAGCAGTGATAATAAGAACTGTTTTTTTTTTTTTCGCACCAAATCTGCATATTAAAGTGATTTCTGAAGGATCATGTGATGCTGAGGACTGCTTTGCCATCACGAGAATAAATTACATTATTAATTATATTAAAATAGGAATAAGTTAACAGAAGCTTAGTGTACATTTCTCTTTGTGTTTTTTAAACACAAAATTTCTGAAAATACTTTCTGCTGTCCCAGCTTAATATGTAGAGCCTATAAGTTATTCATAAGATGATTTCACCAAAAAGTACAAGCACTTTGGCTCTGTGGTACAATACTAACAAAGCATTGCATTGTTATGCCAACATAGCAACATGGATTAACCAATATTGTGATTTGGGGGCTTGGCTATCTGTTTTACAACCAATGAGAGACTGGGATTATTTCGGACAACATATTTGAACACATTTTTTCAATTCTATTTGGTGATGCCATTTACGATGCTATCTTTGATGACGGATTCACAGACATACATTGGTTCCCTCATTTTACCTGTAACTCTAATCTCAATACTGAAGGTCTCTTGTCCCACAATGTTCTTGACTATGATGGTATAGATTCCTGTATCGGAGCGATCTGCAGATGGGATCAGGATCTGAGAGCCTCCCTCAGCATTGCTTATAGTGGCATGTTTGGACACAGGGGAACCATCTTTAAGCCAGATGACATCAGGACACGGGGAAGCCTGTAAAAAGGTTATACAGGACAAGTATCGGACATGTGGCCAATGCGAAATATAGTTTAAATGACGGGAGTAGGAATGATCTGAAAAGTGTATGGGAAGGGAGGATGATATAGCCTGGCTCATGGATATTAATTAGGGGACATAATATTCAGCAAGCAGTCCCAAATTATTAATATTATTATACATTTTATTTATAGGCGCCTTACACGACACTCAAGGACACCGTACATCAGTAAAACAGCCAATCATCAAACAATAGGGCAACACAGCCTACCTACAACTAAACATTACATAAAAGCCTGCCTAAATAAACAAGTTTTAATTCTAGATTTAAAAACCACAAGACTTTGACTATTACGAATATCCACCGGTAGTGAATTCCATAGGTACGGAGCAGCATAACCAAAATAAGTTGTCCGAGTGCGTGGAAGTACAAGAGTGAGTGCAGAGGCAGATCATAAGATATGTGTAGGAGTATTTATACGAAGGAGATCTGATAAGTATGAGGGAGCCAAATTATTAAGTGCCTTGTAAGTTAGAAGCAAGATTATAACATTTTTGCTATATTTAACAGGGAGTCAATGCAGATTTTGTAGCACAGGAGAAATGTGCTTGGATATAGAAGTTTTGGAAATAACTCGTGCAGCTGCATTATGTACTAGCTGAAGTCCATAAAACAAGGATTTACAGTAATCAATTTGTGATGTTACTAAAGCGTGTACAAGGATAGCAGTACTCTTTGTTGAGGACGAAGACGATTAATATTTCGTATATGGAAAAATGCAGAACGAGTAATGCTGTTAATATGAGCTTCAAATGATTAAGTACTGTCCAAGATGACACCCAGACTTTTAACCTGTTTATGATTTGCAGATGCAAGTCGGCACTACATTTTTGATCAAGGAATCGAGGAGGGGGAACAGGACTCTGGACAACAGCAGTTATATTTCATCCCTTCGCACCGCAGGCAGTATATAATGATTGTCTCCCAAAAAGTGACAAACTTTATGTTATAAAAGTTCTAAACCCCTGGTTTGGTCTCCAAAAGTACTGTATGGTTTTAGTATTGCCCATTACCTCAAAGTTGATGTTGAATCGTGCAGAATTTCCAGCTCTGACCACCATGAAGCTCTTGATCTTAGAATCTGTGAATCTCGGTCTCACTAAGAAAAACAAGACATTGAGTTAATGATGTGGCATATCCAGTACAGTTTTCGAAAATGAGAGGCAGTTATCTTTCTGACCGTAGATAAGATGATTCACCTGGAGGAGGCATAGCCAAGATGTAGTTATCCAGCTCCTGTGGCTCACCCTCTCCACCTTCATTGACGGCGATCAGTCTAACCCAATACATGGCCATTGATTTCAGTCCCTTTACAGTGTAGGAGGTCATGATGATGGCATTTGTGTTGCATCGATCCCATTCTGTGTTCTCAGCAGGCCTGACATCAATAAAGTATCCCTTGGCCTCATCCTGAACACCAGGCTCTTCTTTTGGTTTAGTCCAAGACAAGGACAAGGTAGTGTAGGTGGAGTCTGTCACTTTAAAGTAAATGACCTTACCAGGGGGTTCTGAGAAGAAATTGAGATGAAAGCGTTTGAATTAGAAAGCATTGCAAGAGAAAATAGGGAGAAGTGCAAGAGGAGTTCAAATTAGCTTATTTTGAAGCCCAGAAAATTCTGACCTAAATCTGCTATTTTTGCATATCTTTGAGGGGAGGCCACAGTTCATTTTTCGAAATGTACAGCCTTGAGAATACTTATGCTGAATTCCTCTTTCCTTTTTGAAGATAATGAGCAACCTGAGAAATTACTTACTTTTGGGATCTCTGGCAAACACAAATTCTGAGGGGATACTTGGTTCACCAGCTCCAGATATGTTGATGGCAGACACACGGAACTCGTACTCCATTCCTTTAACTACATCGTTTACAGCATATTTCTTTGCTGTGGATGGTAATTAAGAGGTAAACATTACTAGCAGGCAGTACTTTAAAGTAGCTCGTGTAAAATGTGAGATACAAACCTTGGATTGGCTGATCTGTTGGATTGACTTGGCCCCACAAGTTGCTGCCCTTCTTGCGTTTCTCTAAGTTATAACCCAAAATACTGGTTCCTCCAGTGTTGGTTGGAGGAGTCCATGCCAGGTTAATGCAGTTTTTAAAGGCACTGGCTACTTTAGGAGCAGATGGCTGACCAGGATATGCTGGAAAGTAAGACAATCCAGAGGTTTATATTAAGACGACGAGTCTGTATAGCGACTGACTAGCACAAGGCTACTCTGAGAGATTTTTTTTTAGTAAGTCACCTTTAGTGCCAGCTTGCACATCCTCAGTCTCCATCAGTTCACTGATGCCCTCATCAGTCTCGGCTCTGATACGGTAACAGTATCTTCTGCCATGGTCAACATCAGTGTCTCTGTAATGGGCTTCACTTGGGATCAGGCCTATCTTTTTCCATGTGTTGCGTCCAATTTGGTTACGCTCAAGTATGTAATGTTTAATAGGGCAACCACCATTGTCTTTTGGTGGTCTCCACTTGACCTCAATGCAGTTGGCAGATGCTTCAACGATCTCCAGTGGTCCAAGTGGGGGGGTAGGTTTATCTAAATGAGGTAAAAAGTTGTCAGGCAAAATGGAGAGTAAGTTTGTTACCAAACTGTACTGCATTCATATCAAAAATATAACCTGTTTAATTAGTTCACTTTTTGTACTCACCAAGTACCACTAGATTAGAAATGGCTTCAACTGTGCCAAACTCATTTTTGACTTTGATTTTTATTTCCCCGGTGTCTTTACGCTGTAATTTGGTGAGAAGCAGGCGGCTTTCAGCCTCTGAAATCTCAATCTTGCAGTGAGAGTCTGGCGTGAGCTCTTCACCATCTTTGTACCACTGGACTTTGAATGGCTCATGGCCAATAAATGGAATTTTGAAGGTGGCTTTATGATTGTGTTTGACCACAATCGGGTTTGCAAATGCTTCAATTTCCTTGGCATTGAATCTTGGTGGATCTTATCACACACACACACACAAACAGAATAAATAAATAATAAAAAAAGTATAAACATGAAATTTGGAACATTTGCATTTGTATTGGCACAAATGAGCAGATATTCAAAAACAAACCTTCAACAGCAATCACACATTCGGTTTTACGCCCATCAGCCTCAAATCGATATTTTCCAGCAAATTCTTCTGTTACTTTAGTAATTGTCAGTTTGTGAACCACTCCCTCTTTACTGATAGTCATACCCTCAGTGGAGGCAGTAATCTACAGATAAATTTGAAGAACAGTTTACACATACACCATATATACCATTTATCATATTATTTATATTATTTATACTTGTGGCTTCTTTATACCTCATTGCCATCTTTGGACCAGACACCTTTACAGTCAGCACTGCTAAGTTTGCAGACAAGTTCAGCTGCCTCTCCCACAATAGCTTTGCAGTCTTCCAGCCCAGCAGAAAAGTGAACACCAGGATCTGCAGGTGATTTGTGAACAAAATTAGTCATTAATAATTCAAGCACGGTTATCATTTTGCTGCATGATGTTTGAGTTGTAGTCCACACACATTAATTGAGGCCTACTGTAGCAATTCTACACTTGTACACTTAGTAAGTACTGTATGGACATACATATTTTATAGCATGTGTTAAAATGCATTAACTTTCATTTAAATGTGAATAAAAGCCAACAGAAATGTGTGAGAAAAAATATCAGGTGTATGATATCTTGCCATTGTCTTCAGCGCTGACTTCCTAGAATCCGAATCTTCTTAGAATCAGTCATGATGATGACCATTATGAAGCATCTCTGAATGGCGGTACACATTTAACCTGACTTATTTTAGAAATGCATTGTACATACATTCTTTCCGTTCTAATAGTACATAATTATCACTCTTGTTTGAAGTAGTTCAGCTGAGATAATTCTCTGAATTAATAGTCACTCTAATTAAGCTTCACCACTAATGGGCAAATGATGGAAACCTTCTTGTTTTGGTGGTATTACCAAATAATGTTGCTTTTCTATTAGATTAATAAGAATATTTCCCCCCTTTTACCATTTCATTGTGTCTCTGGATACCATCCAAATGCAATTTTGTTCTTGTGCAGAATTTACTTTAAAATCTCCAGGTAAATGCTGATTGAGTCACTTTCTTGCAACCCCAAGTGTTTTGACAATTAAAGATCTTGCTGGAATGACTTCTGCTGCAATTTTCACGTCTTCTAAGGCATATAAAATCTTTAATTTGTCTTCTCGTAATTAGAGTTTGTGAAGTCCTATTTGGCTGCATTTATTAAGATCTTATCATGTCCTGGTTCCTCTGATTAGTGAGCGAGGTGATTGGCCTTCAGCAAGACAAGCAAGCTTGGTGAAGACAATACGAGCGCATACTGATCTACACAAACAGCAGACACACAATGCATAAGAAATATCTGGCACATTAAAGACTGGGTGGATACTATTTTTTAAATACATTTATTGTTGCATCTTACAATAAAACATGAACTGTTTTCCACAAAGAATTGGTCCTCACTCAAATTACATACTGAGTTTTTTTCTTCTTTATTTTATTTAAAGGAATAGTTTACTCGGAGATGTCCTTCCAAACCTGTATATTGTTGTTGTTTGGTAAATACTAAAATTGAATTTATAAAGGTTATTTTTATACAGTTCATACAGGCTGTCAAGCACAACAAAAGCAGCATAAGTAAACCATATGATTTTTTTATACAAACAAACAAACAAATAAATATACTGTAAAATAATTAACAAAAATAAATAAACAAAAAATAAAATAAAATGAAACAATTATTTTATTATTATTATTATTATTATTATTATTATTATTATTATTCACAGAAAAAATTATAATATACAGGTTTGGTTTGGAATGGGATGAGGATAAATACAGGTGCATCTCAATAAAGTAGAATGTCGTGGAAAAGTTAATTTATTTCAGTAATTCAACTCAAATTGTGAAACTCGTGTATTAAATAAATTCACTGCACACAGACTGAAGTAGTTTAAGTCTTTGGTTCTTTTAATTGTGATGATTTTGGCTCACATTTAACAAAAACCCACCAATTCACTATCTCAACAAATTAGAATATGGTGACATGCCAATCAGCTAATCAACTCAAAACATCTGCAAAGGTTTCCTGAGCCTTCAAAATGGTCTCTCAGTTTGGTTCACTAGGCTACACAATCATGGGGAAGACTGCTGATCTGACAGTTGTCCAGAAGACAATCATTGACACCCTTCATTGCCAAAGAAGCTGGCTGTTCACAGAGAGTTGAGTGGAAGGAAAAAGTGTGGAAGAAAAAGATGCACAACCAACCGAGAGAACTGCAGCCTTATGAGGATTGTCAAGCAAAATTGATTCAAGAATTTGAGTGAACTTCACAAGGAATGGACTGAGGCTGGGGTCAAGGCATCAAGAGCCACCACACACAGACGTGTCAAGGAATTTGGCTACAGTTGTCGTATTCCTCTTGTTAAGCCACTCCTGAACCACAGACAACGTCAGAGGCGTCTTACCTGGGCTAAGGAGAAGAAGAACTGGACTGTTGCCCAGTGGTCCACAGTCCTCTTTTCAGATGAGAGCAAGTTTTGTATTTCATTTGGAAACCAAGGTCCTAGAGTCTGGAGGAAGGGTGGAGAAGCTCATAGCCCAAGTTGCTTGAAGTCCAGTGTTAAGTTTCCAGTCTGTGATGATTTGGGGTGCAATGTCATCTGCTGGTGTTGGTCCATTGTGTTTTTTGAAAACCAACGTCACTGCACCCGTTTACCAAGAAATTTTGGAGCACTTCATGCTTCCTTCTGCTGACCAGCTTTTTGAAGATGCTGATTTCATTTTCCAGCAGGATTTGGCACCTGCCCACACTGCCAAAAGCACCAAAAGTTGGTTAAATGACCAACTTGAAAATGACCAATACTACCAAGTATTGAGTACATGTACAGTAAATGAACATACTTTCCAGAAGGCCAACAATTCACTAAAAATGTTTTTTTTTATTGGTCTTATGAAGTATTCTAATTTGTTGAGATAGTGAATTGGTGGGTTTTTGTTAAATGTGAGCCAAAATCATCACAATTAAAAGAACCAAAGACTTAAACTACTTCAGTCTGTGTGCATTGAATTCATTTAATACACGAGTTTCACAATTTGAGTTGAATTACTGAAATAAATGAACTTTTCCACGACATTCTAATTTATTGAGATGCACCTGTACATGTAAAGACAGAATTTTTAATTTTGACTGAATTATTACTTTATTAAACAAAGTTATCCAACGCCCACTAGCATCATGTGAAATAAACAATTTTCCTGTCTACTCAAATCAACCTAATTAAAGAGGTTGTTAAAGTTACTGATTACAACCTGCCTTGCTCAATATATCCCTCACTTATTTTGAGCTTGCTCATCAAATATGCCTTCACAATGTTTCAACAAGCACATTATGTCCAAGAACTGCTGATAGGAATATGCATATGCTTACAAAGCCTGTTCTATAGCTGTTGGACCCAAGGGTATACTCTTTAAATGAGCGCTTAGGACAATTAAACTGACAAAGTTTCTCAGTGGAAAGTTATCCAGCAAGTCCCAAAGTGTTTGGTCCTGCGGAAAATAAGATCCGAAACATGTCCAGAATGGTTAAATTGAATCTAAATTAAGTAAAAAAAGACCTAAATCCTTCAGAGAGGCTGTGGTATAACAATTAAATGCTTTATAACCACCCACATCCAATTAAAGAAGTTTTCTGATTAACAGTGTACTTAATAGGAATAGGAAGTGTTTGGATAACTTTGTTTATTGTTCAGATGATGTGACTGAATTAGACCCAGAACTCCTACGAGGGACTGCAAAGTTATTCCTGAGTCTTCTGAATGACTTTGACATTTGCATGGAAGCAATGTCATTATTCAATGCAACTTCAAACAGCTCTTACCAACAACTGTCCCCGGAACCTGTGGGTCTTGTTTTTTACGGCCTGAACGCTTGCCAAATTTAGCTGACTCGTCCTTTTCATCTTCAGCTCCTTTTTCTTCCTCTGTAGCTTCAGTGCTGCCCTCTGATGGGCCTCCGGGACCTGGTGGCTTCCCTGGGCCTGGTGGGTCCCCAGAACCTGAAGCGCTACCGGACCCTGACGGGTTACCGGATCCTGAAGGGTTGTCAGAACCTGACGGGTTTCCTGAACCTGATGGGTTACCGGAATCTGATGGATTACTGGAACCTGATGGATTACCGGAACCTGATGGTTTGCCAGACCCTGCTGGTTTTTCTTTATCTGATGGGTTACCTCCACCTTCATTCATGCCGTTTGGTCAGTCGGTGAAGCATTTTGAAGATTGACATTAATATGATAAAGAGGTTGGAAAGAACATGTAAAATAAAAAGAAAAACACTTAAAACAAACAAGAACATTTAAGAAAACTGTTACAAAAACCACCACAAAAATGCAAACAATTAACATTTTCCGAGGTCGTGCCTCTAAACATGCTGAATCTGCAGTTTTGTTGCTTTTGAGCCATGCTGAAAAACACTGTTACACACTGAAAAACACTGACAAACCATCACCACACAAAATGGGTACATTAACAACAAATAAATGACACAAACAAACAATTAAGACAGACAAACCGAGTAGCACATATAGCTGAAAAAAAATTCTGGATTTTATGGAACATTCAATGATAGAGAAAATAAAAAAAAAGATTGATTATTTGATGTTTTTTTTTTTTTTTTCAGTTTGATGACCACCATATTATTGGAAATTACTTTAGTTGTGATAATATTTTTAAGCACTCCTCTGTTTCCCCCCATGTTAAAAGTATTATTATTTAAATATATATATTAATCACTCTTAATGACTGAAAATTAATAATCATGCTTAAACAATCAGTGTTTATTAAAAAAATTAAATAGGTTGTTAATGTTACTTGAAATGTCTTTCTCATGATCAATATTTGCTCAATCATTCAAGCAAAAGCTATTTGTGTTACTGTCGATGTTTAATGGAAAAGACACTTTTTAGTTTAGTGAACTATTTAGTTTCTGTAATCACAGCACATGATTTTAATATAGATGAGACGGATTTAGCGTAATCGCCCAAATTCAAACAACGGGAACCGTCACAATCCCACACTCTTACCAGTCACTGTGTCTGGTGTCAGTGGGCCTTGTCTTACACGAGTACGGCCCTTGGCTTCCCCTTCCATGCTCACATCTGGAACTGTGCTGGGTGTGTTTGAGTTTCCTATCATGATTTTTGATGTAAACTGTGAATTAATCAGCACAGGATGTGCAATGCTTTGTGTTGTGAGTATTTCCCACTTGAGCTACAGTAAAACACTTTTAGGATGTAGGTGTGTTGTGTAGCATCAGCTTATAAGTAAACAGAAAGTTGTGTGAGAATGTTGCACAAAACAAAGCTCTTTTATAAAACCTGTTGACACTTAAAAAAAAAAGGCAACAACAGTTTTGTAAAAAGTTATCCATAATATACATTTTGTAAAGATAAATAAACAGGTATCAATATTGTTGCTGAATGGAGTGCATATGTGTGTGTGTGTGTGTGTGCGTGCATACATATACTGTATACACACACTACTCACCAAGAAATTAATACTTTTATACAGCAAGGATGCATTATATTAATCAAAAGTGTCAGTAAAATGTTTTACATTGTTTAAAAAAATAAATACTGTTCTTTTAAATACTTTATTCATTAAATCCTAAAAAAAAAATAATAATAATCACAAAAATATTAAGCAAATATTAAGTAGCAAAACCATGAATGCGAATCAATAGATTAAAGGGATAGTTCACCCAAAAATTCTGTCATTAATTACTCACCCTCATGTTGTTCCAAACCCCTAAGACCTTCGTTCATCTTCGAAACACAAATTAAGATAGCAAAGAAAACAAAAATAACAAATTATTCAACAATTCTTTTCCCCCCGAGTTACGTCTTCCGCCATTTTCGAGTATCATAAAACATACGCACGCTTTCCCCTAAGCATAAACAACGCTGATTACGCAGATTGCGTTCATGCGCGCACTTTCTCCCCCGAACATATACAACGCTGATTACGTCGAATACGTTCTTGGATACTCTCCAAAATGTCGGAAGATGTAACTCGGGGGAGAAGAATTGTTAAATAAATTATGTTATTTTTCTTTTCTTTGCGCTCAAAAAGTATTCTCGTAGCTTAGCAAAACTGAAGTTGAGCCACTGATGCCACATGGACTGTTTTACCGATGTCCTTACAACGTTTCTGGACCTGGGAACATTACAGTTGTGTTGCTGTCTATGCAGGGTCTGAGAGCTCTCACATTTCATCAAAAATATCTTAATTTTTGTTCCGAAGATGAACGGATGTCTTACGGGTTTGGAACGACATGAGGGTGAGTAATTAATGACAGAATTTTCATTTTGGGGTGAACTGACCCTTTAAAATTTCATGACTATGTCACGAAATGCAGTGAGACTGGGTTGTAAATAATTTCTTGAGGGTCATGTCAGAGTAATGTTTGCTGAAAATTCAGTTTTGCCATAACAGGAATAAGTTAAATAAATAGAAAATATTTATTTGAAATTGTAAAAATATTTTGTAATATTACTGTTTTTAGTTTTACTGTATCAAATAAATGAAGCCTTAGTCAGTCAAGAGACTTCTTTCAAAAAAAAATAAAAAATCTTGCTTTTGAACGGCATTGTACATAAACAATACTGTATGTATGTATATGTGCTGTATGAAAGTTTGGCCTGCTTTGCTAGACTGTATATTTTCTGTAAGAACCAATCACTGCTGAAATGTTACAGTACATATTTTTAAAATGAGAAATAAAAGCAAGAAGGAATTTGTATAGAGTAGATATACGTAATGTCTCCTTGTATAATTCCTTACCTACGACAGTCTCTGGTACAAGAGGTCCTGCTCTTTGACGCTTCTTGTCTCCTCCATCTCCTCCCTCACCACCGCTTCCTCCAGAACCATCAGCTCCTCCGGCCCCACCAGCAGCTCCAGCTCCTCCAGCCCCACCGGCTCCTCCAGCTCCTCCGGCTCCACCAGCACCTTCTGCTCCACCGGCTCCTCCAGCTCCTCCGGCTCCACCAGCACCTCCGGCTCCTCCAGCTCCTCCAGCTGCAGCACCACCTCCAACTCCACCTGCTGCTCCATCCTTCCCAATACTTACTGCTGCAGCAGCTGCAGCAACCCCTGCTGCAGCAGCTTGCTCAGCACTCAGACCTTCACTTAAAGCCTTGAGTTCAGCCTGCTTCCTGGCCTCCTCCTCAGCACTGGCCTTGGCTTTAGCTGCTGCAGCCCGAGCAGCTGCTTCTGCTGCGGCTTTAGCTTCAGCCTCAGATTTACCTTTGGCTTTAGCTGCAGCAAGTGCATCCTGTGCAGCTTTAGCAGCAGCCGCAGCTGCGGCAGCTGCTGCCGCTGCTGCCGCTTGTGCTGCCGCTTTTGCCGCTTCGGCTTCAGCCGCAGCTCTGGCTTTAGCTTCAGCTTCTACTGCCTCTCTTTCAGCCTGGAGTTTCTTAGCAGCCTCCAAAGCTTCTGCTATCTCCTTCTTGTTCCTCTCTGCCTGCTCAGCAGCTATCTTCAGCAAGTCTTCACCACCACCACCTGCCTGAGTGGTTTTACGGGCTTTCTTCTTTCCCTTTGTTGCAGGATCTTTGTCAGCTGGTGTGGAAACAATAATACAAACAGATTCATATTGAATTTAAGCAAGTTAATAAAATTACAGGATGTAGTACAAATATATACAATAAAAATAACGCATTACAGAAATAAAACACAATATATAGACTTTAAAGACATTTTTTAATGTCTTTATTTGTGGGCTTTTTAAAAAATTTATTTTATTTAGGGAGTCTTTTATTTGGGGACAATATATTGCTATAATTTGTTATTAATCTGAATACAAATCAAGAAATAATTAATTTGATTACTTTTTTAATTAATTGACAGCCTTATTTTCTAATAAAAGGGCTGTGATTATTTGTAATTGATTATTCAATCAGTGTATCATACAATTAAATTATTTTAGTCTCTTAATTTAGTACAACTAATTGTAATAAAAATAATGCAATGTGGAAATAAAAACAATATACTGACTTAAAGGAATGAAAATGAAAATTTAGTCATTGTTTACTCCCTCTCAAGTTGTTCCAAACCTGTATGAGTTTCTGTCTTCTGTTAAACATAAAAGAAGATATTTTGAAGAATGTGGGTAACAACCTGGTCTCATAGGAAATACGTGCCTCTAGTACGTTTCTGCAACACCATTATTACATACCTTACTGCAGGTTTTAAGGCAGTTTAAAAGTGAAACGTCCAGAGGGTGGAGCTAAAATGAAGGTTCAATACGTGACCTTGGAACGTTTTTGTTACGTTGATATGGGCACATATCGCTGTGTTTTATTACGTTGCTTCAGGTACGTATTGCAGTGGTTCATAATGCAAATATCCGGGAAGTGTCGCTACAAGTTAATGCTCTATTGTATTGGAAATATCCCCTACACTAAACCCAACCCTAAACCTACCTGATAGTGTTAACAAATGCAAAACTGATATATATATATATTAAAAGAAATTTATTCGCTGATGCAACCATGCCATTTTAACTTCCTTATATGCAGGTTTGAACTGTTTTGTCGAACCATTTTCCCACAGGATTCATACTGAAGCTCTTCACCTCTCAAGCACAACTCCATCCTGCGTGAGCTACCAAGCAAATCGACTGAACATGAAAACCCATTCATATGAAGCTGGATATGTGACGCTAATCTGCTTCGAAAGTATCAGTTTTCAAATGTTAAAGCTGTTTCTAATTAATAACAATATTCCTCAAGAGATTGTGCGAAAATTAGGCTTTATTAATCAAAACTGTGGACCTGCAAATCATACTTTGTGTGAAAATGAATAAAAGTTGACGGAGTTTTACTGCCTCTAGTGTTCATTTCAACTGGAAACTACAGCGATTCGTACGTATAGGTACATTTTTTTCAGTTTTGCAGAAATTTACTTGGAGGCACGTATTTGCTATGAGACCAGGTAGGTAACAAAACAGTTGCTGTTCATCATAGACTTCCATAGTATGGAAAAAAAAGAGGTCAGTTGGGACCAGAAACTGTTTAATTACCAATATTCTTCAAAGTATCTTCTTTTGTGTTCAGGAGAAAAAAGAAATGCATACAGGTATTGTACTGATATATGATAAATGTGCAATGTGATATATATATATATTAAAAGAAATTTATTCGCTGATGCAACCATGCCATTTTAACTTCCTTATATGCAGGTTTGAACTGTTTTGTCGAACCATTTTCCCACAGGATTCATACTGAAGCTCTTCACCTCTCAAGCACAACTCCATCCTGCGTGAGCTACCAAGCAAATCGACTGAACATGAAAACCCATTCATATGAAGCTGGATATGTGACGCTAATCTGCTTCGAAAGTATCAGTTTTCAAATGTTAAAGCTGTTTCTAATTAATAACAATATTCCTCAAGAGATTGTGCGAAAATTAGGCTTTATTAATCAAAACTGTGGACCTGCAAATCATACTTTGTGTGAAAATGAATAAAAGTTGACGGAGTTTTACTGCCTCTAGTGTTCATTTCAACTGGAAACTACAGCGATTCGTACGTATAGGTACATTTTTTTCAGTTTTGCAGAAATTTACTTGGAGGCACGTATTTGCTATGAGACCAGGTAGGTAACAAAACAGTTGCTGTTCATCATAGACTTCCATAGTATGGAAAAAAAAGAGGTCAGTTGGGACCAGAAACTGTTTAATTACCAATATTCTTCAAAGTATCTTCTTTTGTGTTCAGGAGAAAAAAGAAATGCATACAGGTATTGTACTGATATATGATAAATGTGCAATGAATTTAATTAATCAGCATGATGCATTTAATTTGAAATTTTTTATCGATAGGACCTATTTCTACTAAGTGAACAAAAAGTTGTACTTACCTTCTACAATCAGCCAAGCACTGCTAGACTTAATGCCAGCTATAGCAGCATAGATTCCAGCATCCAAAGGCATACAATCAATAATTCTCAGACGGTGGACCAGTTTATCTTCAGAACAAGTAATCTCATATTTTTCATTGTTAGAGAGAGGTGTATTTTTTAGGGTCCAAGTAATCTTACTAACGGGCTGAGTTAAAACACACTCAAAGATGGCATCCTCTCTCTCTTGGGCCGTCACCTCCTTGATCTTCAGGGCAAACTCCACAGGGGGAACTGTGTTAAATATGGATAAACACACCTCAGTCAATCCATGGCATTATGCATTCTGTAAAAGCACTGCTGAAAAGACCAGCAAAGCTGGTTTTAAATTCTGGTGTCTTCACTTGGCTCCTTAACTAGCTTAATTAAACAGCACGACTTGCTTGATTTTCAATGGAAATACATTAGTTAAAAACTGACTTAGCATATAAATATTATTATAATGTTAGTGTTGCTACAACTGTGTATACATGTTTAGAAGCAAAATACAATTTATATTAGCAGACCAGAAACATCACACGCTGACTTTGATGTAACTGTCCGGTGTGCTACCTAACAGATGCTTCCAGTGTAGACAGCTTTATTGATTATAATGGGATTGATTTCGTTTTGGGGCATAACGGCGCATAGCTCACATCCAGTGTAGATGTGTTTTTATGTTGGTTAACCAGCCAGAGAAACACCAAGGCAGCTTAGACAGGCATGGGAATTTGCGCTGGTCTTCTCAGCAGGAGGTTAACTGACAAATAGACAAATGTGCTGTAAAAAACATACTCTTGAAATCCGTTGAAAAGATATTGACACCCTCAACATCCACTTGATAGATTCCGGCATCTTCTGGATTGAGACTTTTAACAGTGAAGATGTACTTCTTGCCAACTTGTTTTAGACCGTGCTTTATTTCGCCTTCAATGTCTTTGCTGAATGGAATCATGATGCCGTCCTGAACAAAAGGGAAAGAGTAACTGTGATGAATGTTCATGATGCATATAGAAAAATAAGACAAAAAAAAAAATTAAGACTGGTTCTTTGAATTATGATGGCTGAATACGTAGCACTAGTGCAGTATCTTTTGAGTAGCCTAAAACAGGCTTTTCATTTGAAAAATATCCAATGTCATAGTCAAGTACAGTAACGATAAAATCAACCTTCATACCTATATGCAAATGCATGTTAACACATCGTCTTTGTTTTTAATTATAGCAAATTATTTACATTTAGTAAATTATTTGGTTATTGTGGCCTAATATGTCATTATCCAGCCGAGTAATTGATAAGTCATAATAATTGAATAGTACGCCACCTACTGGACTGAAGTGTGAAGCGCTGGATGGAGTGTAATTATGTCCGCTGTGATTTTATTGTTAAAATTAAATATGGGGGTTCTTTTTCCGATATTATTGTATACAATATGACGCATCAATCAAATCAAAAATTTCAAAGCAAAATCTTTAAAAAACTAAAACAAACATTAATTGAAATAAAATAAAATCGAACAAACTTTAAACTTATTTAAACTTTTACAAATGACAACAAAATTATTAAAACTTTAACTAAAATTAAAATGAAAATTACAAAAATTAAAACTAATAAAAAAAACTATAATAGATACTGAAATAATACTGACATGAACCAATTTTAAGTGGTTGTTTGTTGATTATCACATACGATGAGAGCTCAATAAGAGGCATTGCTTTGTAACTAGCATTGATCTACTGTACTAGTCACACCTTTTTTTCGCTGGTATTTCACATCCTCTGATTCGCAGTTCTCACCTTATACAGAAAAATGCGGCTGTTGGGGTCTTTGAGCTCCATTTCCAGTTCAAAGGTTGCAGCATCCTCAGATTTCACCTCAATGGGCTTGAGATTACTGAGATGTTGGATGAACTAAAGCAGTGAAACAAATAGAACATAACAATTGCTCTCCAGATTTGTGCATCCAGTCATGAAAATGTGAAAGCAGTTTTTTGAGAAACCCTTCTGTCATTTTGGCAGCTCTTTATACCTGTGCCTGCTCCTCTTCTTTTTCCTTCTTCATCTTGGCCAGTTTCTTCAGCATGCCACGGAAATCAGTGATGCCATACTCGATGCAAATGTGCTCATAGTCTTTCTTCTCAGCACTCAGCAGCAATTCCCATACAGAGTCGTCAATGTCACCTTCCTTTTTCTCCTCAACTTTTTTACCAGCACTTTAAGAAGATTGTAATGACAAATATGAACTTCAGGCCAAATGCTAGCACTTAACTGGGTTAACGTGACTGATGTTTTAATATGAGATGGGCTAATTAACTATGATCAGATGTATAAATAGAGCCTAAAGAGAAACTGCACTGCTGATGACATGGCATTAATGTGTAATGTAATGGAAACAAATGTCTCACCCTCTCCTGAGCATCTTTCTCAACTCTGTTGGGTCACCTGCTGGAGCTTCAAAATGCAATCAACAAACAGAAGAAAGTGAATGCTTATGTGTGCCATATTCAATGTCAAGGTATTCAAAGTATCCCATTAAATCTTTTTTCTTTATAATCAACTGCCATGCTAAGCTGAAGAAAATCAGCTACCAAAAGGTTACAATAATCTTACCTGCGTCAGCCTTTTGCAATTCTTTGCTCCTTTTGAATCCAACTGAAAAGAAAAAGAAAATAATTTGTTTGCAGCTATTTTCATGTATGAGTTCTACTTTCTGTGTGGCTAGAATAATAACTTAGTAATGAAAGTAACAAACAAGTAGGGCTTTTAAAATATGTGCCCTACCTTCAATTACATTTAGGACAACAGTGCAAACAGCTTTTCCATATTCGTTTGAGGCATAGCATTTGTAAGTGTCGGCTTCATCACTGCTCACTTTAGGTATCTGCAAAAGTAAATGAAAAACAGGTTGTGTTGATGAATCGTGGGCAATAATTGAATGGCAGAGATAATGAAATGAACATTTAAAGGTGAAGTGTTTAATGTCTGAGCTGCTAAAGAGAATATTTAGTAAGAATTGTTTCCAAACAGGTTTCTTGACCACTCCCCCCACCCTCTGCCATTTGGCCAGCAAACAGGAAGTCCCGCCCCAAAATTGTGCTGGTTGTTGTGACGATGATGCTGTGTTGGGCTGCTCAAACAACTGACGCAAGAATTGCTTTGATGGCACAGGGCAACAGCGTTTACACTTTCTGCGGGAATCATCCCACTTACAGTCTCTTCACATTAAGCTGGGATATGAGAAGGTATTTTAAAATTAAACCATTACACACTTCACCTTAAATGTTAAGTAGAGGATTTAAAGTGAAGCTAAAAGCCTGTGCTTACCTCCAAAGTGTGTTCATTAGTTGTTGGGTCATATTTGTTCTGAAACTTTTGGGGATCATTCATTTCTCCTTTTGCTCTTTTCCAGGTTACAGTGGCTGCTGGGTTTCCAGTCACTTTGGCTTTAAAAATGGCTAGTTTTCCTGCATTATGAAAATTAAAGTTGTTATAGACTTGAGAAATACATTTTTATTAAGTAGAACTTTCAAAAAAGGAATTCTTGTGCCTTGAAATCGTTGTTATTTAGTGTGTCACATGTGTTTCGGGCTGTTATGCAGATCTTTTACAGTAATCAGTAAACTTTTGCTTTCAATTCTGTGAATATTTACCAGAGAATGTGTTCCAGTGCACCACTACTGAAAAGTTTGGACACACTTAACTTCCATTTTGAAAAATGTTTTGAAATTAGTTTTGTGTAATACATTTATTCTACAAAACTGATGTATGTATGATGTATGAGTATGAATTGAGCCTATGTGTGAATTTCTTTACAAAACTAACATGTTAATAATTCAACAAGTGCCCAGCATACTGTATATACATACTGACCATTTAAAATGCATCCCAGGATGCACCTTGTGAAGTTGTTTGAGTGAATATCAAGTGAATCTCAAGAGTGTGCAGAATTAGCAATATTTCAAAATATTATTTAATGGACCTAAGTTATCATGAGCTAACAATGAACAGTTGACCATTAACAAAGAATAATAATTACAATAACAAATGTATTTCTCATTGTTAGTTTATTAATTAACTGTCATTAACTAATGGGATCTTATTGTAAAATCGTACCATATTTTCTTTATTTCTTATTAGAAATGAACATGGTTAACATGGCTGACATTGTTCTGTTTTTCAAGAGACACTCTTAGTTGTATTGCAGCACTGGCTAAGTCAAATGTTTTAGATACAGGCAGAATAAAGGGCAAAAACCCATAGTTTGAAAGGTTACATGTCATTAAAAACATAAATGAAGGCATACATTACACATTTGTGGTCTTGCTCTGTGCATTTCAAACTAGCATGAAATGGGATATATGCTATTTGATTCCTTTCCCTTGGTGCATATATAGCCGTGGTCACATGTTAAAGCTGGGGGACGAGCAGCGAACTTGATAAATCACTCATGTACTGCGTAAGTTAAGTCGGTGTAGCTGCACAGCTTGTAGACATTTAGGGCAGTAAATCTGTGTGGTAATCTTCTGTACGTGCGCCTAGCTTGTTAATTTCACATCCAGAATCATTTAGCTCTCAACTGTCGCCTCTAATCATATTTGCTTTCACTTTTGTAGATTCTTCTCTTTTAATGTGCTTACCTTCTTGAATGGTTAAAGCGATGGGTTTACGTGTGAAGTCTGGAGTTGTCATCCCCTCAGGAAGTTCCTCAATGTACTGTGTAATCATAACACCGGGAACCTTAGATCTCCGTTTGATGCCTGAGAATTCACATTCAGGGTACAATGTCAGAACATCAGGGGAAACGACACAGCAGGTGCACAGTGACGTAACATATGCTGAATAATCATCTGCACAACTGTAGTCTATGTACTGAAAAACATATTACAATCTCTGTACAAAATATAAGATATTTTTAAGTGGGGATCTAAGACATACAATGATTGATTTACTTTAAATATACAGATTCATGTTTTGCAGATTCAAACATTCCTACATTTATAAATAGAGGATTGAACCGGGGCTAGTTGTCACAGTGTTCACTCTGGTGAATATTTCTTAAAGAAGGTTTATTTTTGAACGTCAGTTAATTAATTGTCATGTCCTAAATTTACACCATTATTACTGAACACACTTGAGCTTTTTGTTGTCTTGTTAAGCCATTTTGTCACACTTCTTAGGCATATACAGCAAAATAAACAGTATATCAATTGTGAAGGGGAAAAAAAATAAATTAAGAAAAATGAAACAGCAAAAATATGAAACATCACACACAAAAATATAAGTAAATATTATAATCAATTGTACTAAATACTAGCATTTATGTGACAATTTGCCCCAACAAACACCTCTGGTTAAACCACTGATATATACAGATATATTATTATATTATATTATATTATATTATATTATATGGATCAGTTGGTTAAACCATCTATTGGTTATTTTAAAGAGACAAGCTTTTCTTAACATCTCATCATGTTTCAATACATCAACATTGAAAAGAAAATTGCTCAAGTCTTTTCACTGTGCCTTTAAATGACAGCAATCTGAACATTCATTTTATAAATAGCACACTGATGTGAATTCGTATTGCTTATTTGACTGGATATGACGATATAATGGATATGATATATTACTTGATGTTATGATGTATAATTTGATACATATGATATGTTATGTTATGATGTGATATGATATGAACATATACTGGTTATCATGACATGCATGCAGATGTTCAGGTTGCTGTCATTTGATTACCTTACCTTGTCTCTTGAGAGGTAGAATTTCCAGTCCTAGTACAGTATAGACACAACATTACAGTACAACAGTAACGAAGGAAGGGGAAACAAAGAAGGAGAACACAAAATTGTGAATCCTGGCATTTTTTTTCTTTGTCAGGTTTGAACGAAAGACAAAATTACTCACGAATACAACCAAAAACACAAGACAGGGGAAAAGACGGGGAGGTTAAACCAATAAAACATAATTATTCAAACCACTACACTCTTAAAAATAAAGGTGCTTCAAAGGGTTCTTCAAGCGATGCCATAGAAGAACCATTTTTGGTTCCACAAAGAACCATTCAGTCAAAGATTCTTTAAAGAACCATCTCTTTATAATCTGAAGAACCTTCTTTCGCCACAAAGAACCTTTTGTGAAACAGAAAGGTTCTGCAGATGTTAAAGGTTCTTTATGGAACCATTTAGACAAAAAGGTTCTTCTATGGCATCGCAAAGCACCTTTATTTTTAAGAGTGTAAGTGGTTGAATGTGAGATTACAATAGACAAGACTAGAGAGAAAGCAGACAAACTGGGAAAGAATTAAAAGTGTGAGACCTGTTTCACACAGCATACATTATCAGGTGATTATTCTGGTTACAGAATTCACACTGCTGCCTAGTGGAGCTGCGAGTTTCTGCACAACGCATATTTCGGCTGTACGCATGCTGAACCCATAAGGTAATATGGTGAAAATATACGATAGGCCAATTTAGAAACTTTTCAAATATGCGATTTTTGAGGTTATATAAATTACATGAGTGAACTTCTCACACCTTGTGAAAAGATGCAAGCCGGGCTTGATGTACGTTTCACAGTTAGCATACTATTGAGTAAATCTGACAGAATCAAGGTGATGTAAGCATGGCTAAATACTTGATTCTTTTAGCAACTTCCATAGCAAAATCGTACTGTAGAGATATCCACTCACGGCACTACTGTCACATCTCGTGCCACACCGTAAACTCACGCTTTATACAAAAGCAAATGTGAAGTGATAATATGTGTCAATATGTGTCAAATGTGAAGTGATAATATGTGTCAATGTGCGTCACAGTTATCAACTGCAGTGAAAATCGCCTCAGAGAACTTAACATATTAACATTACTGCAGCGTTCATCTGGTTGCTACACTGATTGTTTTGTACATTCTAAAGAACTATTTTTTCGTATCAGAAGTTTTAAGTTATACATTTCACTTTTTTTACTCTGCTTAAATTTGCGGTATGAAACAGGCCAAAATGGGCAGAAATGTTGTCATTGGGGACACATATTATCACTCATGATTGTAAAAAAGGAGGGTTTCATAATGAACATAAGAAAAAAAAAAGAATAAAAATGTCTAATTAAATAAGGTAAAATAAACCCCCTCCTCAAAGGAAATGAAATAAATAAAGCAAGTGAGAAATAAATCAAACTGGAAATAAACAAAGAAAATAAATGTTAAGTGGGTGGATTTTCAATAAAAGGTTTAATCATGAAATGCAAGAGCTTTTGTGCATACAGGTTCGATTCCAGCCTGGTCTAGTTTTCCCACTGCTCTTTACTGGCTCTATTTTCTATCCTTCACATCACAGGCACTTCACATTCTGGTTGGTTGATGGTTGTCCCTCGCATCCATGGTTACAAGATTCAAAGAAACCCTCACTGAATGACAGCAAATGCTCACGGGGCTGTTTAGTGAGCTTCAACATGAAGGGCGCACTAGGCACTGATTGCATAAGCCACATTCACAGCCTCCACTTCATTTGCATCTTGTGCACAGTGGCCAGTTTCCAAACCCAGAACCTACAACTTAACCAGCTATTTGATCATTCGTGTGTTTAAATAAATGTGTGTGGCTAGGTTAGACTCAACACTTGCTTTTATCTCGCTCTTCTAACCCCTCAGGGAGAGATATATTATTCACTTTACCGTGGAGAGGAGGTCATTAGATTTTATCTGAAAAATCCGGCATTGCATTTTAACGCAGTTGCTTACTGTGGTAGAACTTTTCTAAATGAGACCCATGTCCTATCAAGTGTGTCAAATTCCATTGCTATACTCTCATCATTATGAATACAAAGAAAACTGATTAACTAAATTACATCTTCTGGGAATAGTGACCATTAAGAAAGAGAAAGAACGAATTACAAAACAAAAAAAGATGTTTTTTCCACCATGTGTTTCTCTAGCTGGTCTTCATGGAGAACATGGCTGGATTTCTTGTTTCAGTAATTCAGTAATAGAGCAGTTGGACAAGGTTTGGTGCCGGTGTCAGCCTGCCATATGGGAGAGAGAACAATTATATTGTTCTTACCGCCTTGCCCGGCAGCAGTTGGATCTAAAACCTTGGCTTTTTTCATCATCTTGATGCAGTCCAATGGCTCAAGAATTCAGAAGCTTCTCTGGGTGGGAGACAAGCAATATGAAAGGTCAATTCAATTTCGGTCTTATTAAACATTTGGATAGATTAAAAATGTTTGCACTATACAAGATGCAATTAGAAGATGTATGAAAAGGCTAATTTTATAAATCAGTCTGTCTAGGATATTCATCCCATGTGGTTTTGCAACGCTAGTCCTCATTAAGCAGACACCTCACAATAGGTAACACTGAGCATTTGCACACTTTAAATGACCTATTAAGTCCAAACAGTTTAGGGAAAAGAGCAATTCAGGTGAAATAGGCACAAAGATGAAGCAAAGTAGGACGACGGTTATCCCATCTGTTGGGATGTGATGCAGTGTGACAGTGCAGTGCATTATGTTCCATTAGAGAGGCTTTGGGCCTAGTCAGCAAAACCTCCACGGCTCTAGTCATTCATCTTTTCAAATCCACTCATATATACGGTTCAGATCCAGTCAGTGTGTCCTCACTAGTATACTAGCACTAGCGTAGCACTAATATGGGATTTTGACATGTTTGGCTTTAACTGTCTCCTGCAGGGAGACATATTGGCTTTGAGGAGGAGAGATATGAGCATTTGTTCGAGATTTTTAGCTTTGCTCCAAAACCTAGTGTGCTGTCTACTACAGGGGATGTCACATGGAATGTATGCATCCATTTGTGCTGTTTTAAATGTTTTTCTGTGTAAACAAACGGTAGACAGATGTCTTTGATTCATGTGCACTGCTTTTTAAGACACCGTGACAAGTTAGCTAGCTTTTTTTGAAAGCAAGAACATGTGTGAACTACCCTAAGGCAGCGTCCTAACTGAAATGAAACCTCATAAGTGACTGAATTGGAATGCTGTGCAATTGATTTCAATACAATTTGGAGTTAGCATATAGCCAAAACCACATTGTAGTAGTCAAACAAGCATACAAATTCATAGCACACAAAAATGTTGGGCAAAAATAATATATATATTTTTAAATAAATCATACTATTTTCATAACATTTTTCAGTATTGAATTAAAAATGACAGGGAAGAAAAAATAAAAAAGCAAAAGCGTTTAACTCCCAATTTAGTTTATAAAACTCACAATTCTGAGATGAAAAGTCTGAAACGGGCTTCCATACATTACAGGATTCTTTTCTTATTTAAGGATAAGTGCAATAATTTTGGCCAAACGAGGGGAAAAGCTGTCGGTAGGCAGTTGACTAGGTTTTGTACAGAGCTTGTTTATTTGGAATGATCTAGTAGTCTAGGGCCCTCGATGACTCTTGTCCCTCTCTTGCTGTTGACTCCTGCAAATGGTAGTCTCAATCTCATCTCAGATCCTGAGCGAAGCAGGTTGTTTTATACAGTGGCTATCTTTTTCAATAAATAACTCTATGAAATTGCATTCTATGCTACATCAGTCATCTGACCGAGTACCATATTCCATATACAATAGCATGCTGATTGGCCTCTTAGAGACACTGCACAGAGCATAATGAGCTATAAATGCAAGCGTTTTGTGGATCACAAGCTGCTGAAATCTGACATTTGAGTGTCATCCTTCAACATGCATGTGATTCATTGCACTCATCATTATGCGTGGTTTGGCTTGCCATTTCGGTTGGCGTAAAACCTGACAGTTATTATTTCAATTGGTTGCATCATTGAGAATAACACTATGGCAGTCATATTACTGCTTTGGATAGTAATACAAAATTTGCTAATAATGATAAACTTTAGATTAAACAAGTAAATGCATGTACCATATAATGAAGTCCTGGTGACACTATAGTTAAATACAGTTTAATGCATTTACGTTAGTTAACGCATTAGGCACCATAAACTAAAAATGAACAGCATTTAGATCAATGTTCATTTCTACATATACTAATACATTTATACCATTACAAATAGCATAAATTAGCAATAGTTCAAGATTTATAAAATATATTGTTAACAATTATCAAATGAACAGTGAACAATAGTATATTAACATTAATATGAACCTAGATCAATAAATGCTGTAACAATTCAGCTTATTGTTAGTTTATGAAAACTAATGCATAAACTAATGTTATAAATTGAACATTTTACCAAAAGTGTGATATCTATACTATTATACCAGTGGTCTCAACTGTTGGTCGTAACTCAAAAATGGGTTTCAGGTCTGTTCTGAATCTGAAAGGGTTGCGGACTGCAGGAGGAAAAAATGAAATGCTAAATGTAAATAATAAACTAAGTAACTAACTTTTAGGATCCTATGTGATTGCAAAATAGCCATATCAGTTTTTAATATGCTTCCCATATGTTTTGTTATTCAACAGCTGTGCTTTATTGTAACACAAATGTATCTGTCATGTGGTAGAAGCAGCCAAATTAGGTGAATGCCAACACTTCATTTTGTGACATTACACATCACATCATCCCCAAAAACCATGAACAATATGATGTAAGGTAGAACAAAATAGACCAAGACTAGATTAAATACAGATCACTTCAAACAAGAGTAAACATGGTTTGTGCCAACCACAATTTGTTTTTGCTGAGAGCATGAAACCATCAAAATTCAAGCGGCTTTTGCAAAACAAAATGGTCAATTTCCCTTCATTTCCTTTGATAGACGGTTTCGGTATGGCATTGGGTCAACACATGCCCAGTTTAAAATCTGGCTGCTAAACGAAACTATTTGAGAAACACTATTACACATTCTCTGATCACAGCAAAAGGTATTCAGAATGACAAATTATTTGAACACCCATGCCGGTTTGTAGCATGTCCTAAGCAGGCCTTGGCTTCTGTTCATTTTGGAAAATGAGCTATCTAACCCTCCTGAGCAAAATATCCCGAGACTGAAGCTTGCCAAGCTGAGGGTCTTCAGTTTACATGCAACCTGAGTTGACTAGGTTTTGTACAGAGCTTGTTTATTTGTAATGATCTAGTAGTCTAGGGCCCTCGATGACTCTTGTCCCTCTCTTGCTGTTGACTCCTGCAAATGGTAGTCTCAATCTCATCTCAGATCCTGAGCGAAGCAGGTTGTTTTATACAGTGGCTATCTTTTTCAATAAATAACTCTATGAAATTGCATTCTATGCTACATCAGTCATCTGACCGAGTACCATATTCCATATACAATAGCATGCTGATTGGCCTCTTAGAGACACTGCACAGAGCATAATGAGCTATAAATGCAAGCGTTTTGTGGATCACAAGCTGCTGAAATCTGACATTTGAGTGTCATCCTTCAACATGCATGTGATTCATTGCACTCATCATTATGCGTGGTTTGGCTTGCCATTTCGGTTGGCGTAAAACCTGACAGTTATTATTTCAATTGGTTGCATCATTGAGAATAACACTATGGCAGTCATATTACTGCTTTGGATAGTAATACAAAATTTGCTAATAATGATAAACTTTAGATTAAACAAGTAAATGCATGTACCATATAATGAAGTCCTGGTGACACTATAGTTAAATACAGTTTAATGCATTTACGTTAGTTAACGCATTAGGCACCATAAACTAAAAGTGAACAGCATTTAGATCAATGTTCATTTCTACATATACTAATACATTTATACCATTACAAATAGCATAAATTAGCAATAGTTCAAGATTTATAAAATATATTGTTAACAATTATCAAATGAACAGTGAACAATAGTATATTAACATTAATATGAACCTAGATCAATAAATGCTGTAACAATTCAGCTTATTGTTAGTTTATGAAAACTAATGCATAAACTAATGTTATAAATTGAACATTTTACCAAAAGTGTGATATCTATACTATTATACCAGTGGTCTCAACTGTTGGTCGTAACTCAAAAATGGGTTTCAGGTCTGTTCTGAATCTGAAAGGGTTGCGGACTGCAGGAGGAAAAAATGAAATGCTAAATGTAAATAATAAACTAAGTAACTAACTTTTAGGATCCTATGTGATTGCAAAATAGCCATATCAGTTTTTAATATGCTTCCCATATGTTTTGTTATTCAACAGCTGTGCTTTATTGTAACACAAATGTATCTGTCATGTGGTAGAAGCAGCCAAATTAGGTGAATGCCAACACTTCATTTTGTGACATTACACATCACATCATCCCCAAAAACCATGAACAATATGATGTAAGGTAGAACAAAATAGACCAAGACTAGATTAAATACAGATCACTTCAAACAAGAGTAAACATGGTTTGTGCCAACCACAATTTGTTTTTGCTGAGAGCATGAAACCATCAAAATTCAAGCGGCTTTTGCAAAACAAAATGGTCAATTTCCCTTCATTTCCTTTGATAGACGGTTTCGGTATGGCATTGGGTCAACACATGCCCAGTTTAAAATCTGGCTGCTAAACGAAACTATTTGAGAAACACTATTACACATTCTCTGATCACAGCAAAAGGTATTCAGAATGACAAATTATTTGAACACCCATGCCGGTTTGTAGCATGTCCTAAGCAGGCCTTGGCTTCTGTTCATTTTGGAAAATGAGCTATCTAACCCTCCTGAGCAAAATATCCCGAGACTGAAGCTTGCCAAGCTGAGGGTCTTCAGTTTACACGCAACCTGAGCTTCACACCACTCAGCGCAATCACATGCTTATATGGGGACAAGAAAGCATTCCATCTCACTGCCATCTTGGGCATTCTCCACATAAAAGTAGGTATATTCCCATCTTACTTAACAAATTAGTGGTTTATTGTGCAAAATTTACCTGTATTAGCTTAGCTTCCAAGGTTTTCCACCTGTATCTCAGATCAGAAGAACTGCTGCATAAAAGGAGACATTTTCATCGTGCTGAGAAACCGGAGCCATGCTTCATAACATAATTACATGCCAGCGGCAGGCCGGGCTGTATAGCAGTAATAACAGTGCATGAGTAAACTAGCACTTCACACGACTATATGAAAAGCAAGTCTAATGACATGCTCAAGTTTTAAACTATACCGCTAACCTTTTTTTCCTCTCTCAGAATTGCCCTGCTGACATGTTTAGTAGGACACAGTCATTTGTCAAATGATAGGTTATCATGCCAGCCTAGCACAGCCTTGGTTGGCGCTAGTTATTTACATTTCTCAAAACTGGCGAAGTTCAGAAAGAGAGACACTTAGGGAGTAATAGCATACCTATCATTAGCATACAATGCATTAGGCGACATTTATGTGAACCCAATGGGTAAGTTCTACCTTCGGCTACACCAAAGGGCCTTTTCAATATGAAATAGTCTGAAATATCTAAAATTACATTCTCTTTCAAAAATTGACTCATTCTAGAGGATTTAGCCAACATGCTTTAAGATACGTTTTTTAAATAAAAATAAGTCTCATTTCCAGAGACGTGATTGTTTTAGTAATCGCCTAATTACGTTGGTGCATAACTAAGTTTCCCACTAGCCAAGCACACACTAAATGCAATATCGATGCAAGCATTAAGTCCACTTTTCCTCTTAGGGAAGGCTGGCAATGAGCCCCTTAGGTCTTAGATTGAAGCAACACATGTTTTAGGTGAGGAAATGACTGTGTTGTAAATCAGCCTGCTTGTCAGTACTTTATTTAGAGGAGTATGGAAGATGCGTTTCCACAGGGTGTTTAAGTGAGCAAAATCACCCTCAGCAATAGGCAAAGCCAATTTTGCTCAGTCTATCGCACTCCTATTTCTCTGATTGGCGATAAAATCTTTTCCTCTGTCCTGTCAGCCTTGCCCAGTTAAAATGGCTCCAGTGGATAGACTCTCCAGGGATCTCAAATGTCCCCATGCACCTCGTAACCCTCTCAGTGTGCAGGATAAAAATCTGTGGCTCCCAGAAGACATTTAAAGATACATTTACACAAGGCTACTGTTAGTGACAAGATTTACTGGTTAATAATAATTGCTGAGACAATTTGTTGTTAATTTCCTTTTTCTATATTTCAAGAACAGCTTTAAACCTTTAGATTTGCTTTAGCACTTCACCACATTGTAAAGCATCAATGCGTATGCCAACACGAGGAGTTATCGTGAATTCACTTTATAGTCACACTGAATATTTTAAAGCAACTCCCATATATATTAAGATTTAATTGTTCCATAAGGTCCTGTTGCTTTTTTCGTACACAGCTTCATTATCATCACCCAAGAAAACTGTACCTACATAAATGTAGGTTTGCAATTCTTATAAATTGTGTCTATAATATAATATAATAATATAATATTCTACTACATGAACACCATTACTTGCATGCTTCTGCATTTTTTTCCCAGTGTTTCATTACAATACACTTTTGCATGACTTGTTCTTGTTTAAATTAAAAACTCCAGAGCTAAAAATTATCAGTTCACAAACCATCAATAATAAGTTTGTTTTTATTATTTTATGGAAGAACCAATGTGTTACATGACACATCTGTCACACACAAAAAGTATCGAGATAGGTCCACCCACTGATTCAAAATACTTCACGTACATTAGTTCCATTTGATGTGATACCCGTATCTATAGTTAGAACATCCTTGCACTTTTGCATGACTTGTTCTTGTTTAAATTAAAAACTCCAGAGCTAAAAATGATCAGTTCACAAACCATCAATAATAAGATTGTTTTTATTATTTTATGGAAGAACCGATGTGTTACATGACACATCTGTCACACAGAAAAAGTATCGAGATAGGTCCACCCACTGATTCAAAATACTTCACGTACATTAGTTCCATTTGATGTGATACCCGTATCTATAGTTAGAACATCCTTGCAACTGTTCTGATTTGACTTCATGCCACCTGACTAGCAGCTCTCACAGATTCCAGACCCTGAAACCCAAATCGGGAAGACTGACTGAAATGGTTTTGATGTGTGGCCACCAAACTAGCTGTAAGAAACGGCATTTAAAACATCCATGTTAAGACTAATAATGTTATAATAATGATAGTATAAGGCAAGTCTTTAAACGGAGTAAAACTATAAAGCAGCAAAAGATCATTTAAGAGTCTCTGGTGTCAGAACTCAAAGTAATGTGCGGTTGTCAGCGCTGGATTGTAAAATCCCCACAGCCGCTATATTAAGTCAAAGTACATGCATAGTTCACTGCACCCAACAGAGTGCGAAATTTGCCGCTTAGTTTGTGTCCCGTAGAAAACATACAAGTGTCTGTTGAAGGTACACAGAGTGATGAGAGAAACTTTGGCACAATACGAAGCTCTTATTGTTTTCTTGTTCTTTGTGCATGTCTCTCAGTTCTGATAGAATGATAACAAAAAGGCAAAAAAATAAAAAATCCCTACCTGTTCACAGTTCTCTGTGCTCCGCTCTTGCTTCTTTCAAAGTGCTCTGGCCTCTTCTGATATTTGAGTGCTGCCTCCAAGTTGTCCAAGGTATTAAATCCTTTGAGCTGTGTGTGTATGTGTGTGTGCACTGTTCTCATGTACTCAACCTTGGCTTCCACCAAAAGAAAGTTCTCCTGTTTGAAGGGAGGGTCTATGGGAACACCTCATTCCTGTTGACACCTTATTATTATCAAACAACTTTTTGACATGATATGTTCTTAATCTTAACTTAGAGGTACACTTAGTTACACTTCATATTGACAGACAAAAAACAGAATTAATTAATGAATTGGTTTTATTTGCCACAATCAGCATAACTGAATAGTTCTGAAATTACAAAAACAACGAAGAGAACTTTTATTACTGTCTCAGCAGTACTGTAAATGATTGATGTTTCTGTTCTTTAATTCCCTTAAAACAAAGCAATTAAAGAAATCATTTGCGATACGACTGACTTGATTTTATGTCACCGATAAAATGAAGTGTTTTATGTACCTTTAGTTGCACAGAGAACATGGGACCTAAAATAAAAAAGCCAGAGTGTTCTGACAGGAATTTACCATTACAAGCACCACTGATCCACTAGGTGGTTTGTCAGATCAATCACGGATTTTACATCACATTTTGCAAAGTCATATTTCTACTGTCTGCTTTCTAACATCATCAGTGATCTTGCAATAAATCGAGCAGTAAAACCCATTATAAGAAAGCGAAGACACATTTACTGCTGCTGAAAAATGTCCCTTTTTCATGTTTTTAATGTATTAATAGCACTGTGAATAAATGAATAAAAAATCCTGGTATTTTTACAGAAGAAAAAACAGCAGCTGTGGTTTTCAGAATAGTATAGTAAACATGTAAACATATTTGCAGAATTTAAAAAACGCTACTATTAAATTGTGTTTTGCGACACATTAACAAATTAAAGTTCATCACAAGTAGATTTTCCATAAGATTTTAAACTAATATATAAAAGGTTTACGTGTCACATGCACACATACTAAATGCCATAATAGTGACAAATATGAAACAATAACAATGCAATAAACATTAAGTAAACAGGTTATCTAAAACCCTAATATATAAGTGATAGCAAAAACTGTTAAGAAACACAATTATGTAAACAAAATACCATCAAATGTGAAGTGTCATCCAGGGAATTCTGGGAATATCAGTTATACAGTTCTCACTGTGAATTACAATATTTGTGCATTTTTACTTCTAAAAATGGTACAATAGTAAACTTGCATGAAATGTAGAGTTGAATCTATTACAGGTTTTCCCGTATAATAAGGGAACTTGCCTTTAACGGTATTTACTGTAGCATTTTTTTCAAGTGTTAGTTAATATTACAATATTTTTTTACAGTGAGTCTAGAACAGAATGAGCACCTATGCAGCTATAAAAATTTTATCATTTATTTATTTATTTATTTTCCCTTTTTTAGTTTAAATGGACGAAATATCACAGATTTTCAATGTGTTTTTTACTTTTGGCCTTTATGCATCCATGTGACATAACTTGAGAAAATATCCAATCATAAAATACATGACATTATTATTTTACATAATTAAAGTAAACATTCAGTAAACGATCCCTTGGGCAATTATGTTTATGCGTTTATCATTTAGATTACAATCATGGAGTACAGCAAAGATTGCATTTAGGTGTTAGGAAAGCAACACTCCTCTCACTTCAGCCAGATAAAATAGGCATTTGTGTTAGAACATAAACATAATCTCCTCCATAATTATCAGCATGTGTTTATGGCCACATTTTAGATGTAAAAGATGTAGTGTGCATTAGCGTATCCATGCAAGTTTGTAGATACTCGTGTTTCACTGCAATCTCCTTGACATTCTGTGCATTCAGTTCCTGTGTACTTGGAATTGAACCCAACACATAAACCATCGAATTGCGTCTGAAATGACTCTGGTGTTCTGAGCAGCAAAATATCATTTCTCCTGACCACATGAAGGCTGACCTGGAGCACTCATGGTAAGATGTGAGAAAAAATCCTCTTGGACCACAAAGGTCACTGGGTCACAAGTTTGTATTACCCTCTCATTAAACTGCACCATGGCGTTGCTGCTTAGTCTGCAATATGCATGGAGCAAAGTTATGTAAGGAAGGCCTAAAGTCACGAAGCCTGTCGATGAGTGATTGATTGTTATTACCTGGAGCCACTCGTGCTATGAGCAACAAACCGTACATATTGTATATACAATAGCTGAACAGTAACTGCATTCAGTTATATGACATAAAAATATTAAACTCATTTCCTTTACGTTATATTCTTCATCTGCTAAAATGTGCATGGGATAGAACCACTATTTAATTAATTTATATCACATTTAAGTGACATTCAGAAAAATTCACAGTACAGCAGGTCAAAATCATACAGATGGCCCGAAAATGAACTCATTTTAAAGCTCTTCAGAGGATATTTGCACCTTCTGTGAAGCTTTGCACTTGTTTTACAAGTTTCCATTTATATATGACAATCTCTAACAAGTGAACACAGCTGGTGGCCCTGGTAGTAAATGAACAATGTTCAGAGAATTACGGCATTGCCAGACACACTGAATGCCAGTTGCACGACTGTAATGCCATTCAGAATTGTTTTCTGTGCTGTTGTCAGTTCTGAAGTTCAAAAGGTCTTGAAGTAGTAAAATGAACGCTGCAAAGAGCCCAATATTATTTTTAAATAATATATACATCATTTGGAAGAGCAAACAGAATATGCAGACTTTTGCATTAAATGATTCATGCTCATTAGCATTGAGAATACATATCCTGAGAAGTATTTTTGTTACGCATTAAATGCTGTATTGTTTTAATATTTTAAGGAAATAAAACTGATGAGCTTTCCTGCATTAATTAATTAATAAAACCATGACCTCGACATAATATGCAACTTGTAATTGTCTCATGCCAGCATTATTCTCTATCTTAAGCCGCCTAACTTGTTAATTAATTACAACATCTGTAGGAAGTGAAAAAGTCAATTATTTTTTTTCCAGGGTGTTAATTTGTGGTGCAAATGCAAATGAGGAAGTGGAAAAAGTCTGATTTCAAGGTGTTAGTCAATGGTAGATATGCAAATGAAGTGATTAGCCAAATCCGCATGAAATGGCAAAGTTATTTCAGTGCAGACAAATATTTGTGAACTAGGAATATGGTGGTTAAAATCTGTTTCTGAAGATGGAATCAAGCAAGCTATGAGTCAAGACTTACTATTTTTGAGCAGTCGAACATATGCGGTGGTGGTTGAAGTATATATTTAAATCTTATGCAATGTTCATATCTGAAGGATTCATTTGTCTGCATGTCTAGACCTAATAGATATAATAAGCTTATTTACATAAACAAATATATTGTAATCCTTTCAAAGTGAATTAAATAATATTACAGAAAGATAAGTATATGTTTTTGCAAGATACAATAGTCAGATTGTATGCTAAAACCAGAAAAGCTGCTGATTTGCCTTAATAATAATAAGAATAGCAGTTTTTCTCAATTGCGAGTCCAAGTGGAGTTTATATTCCTCCTCCATCACATACTCTCATTCATCATTTGCACTTTTCCCAATGTGACAACCTGTCAGCACTGCCACTTCAGTAATTTCCCATATTTGTTTATTTTTGAACATCAACACCCACCCCCCCCCCCCCC